TCCATTTTCTGCGCATCTTTGAAACTGGCCCTCTTGAGTTCTCTATTTGGAGCTGTCGGTTTTGTCCTTGGAAAAATTGAAGGCAAGTGTGTTCTGCTAAGTTACTCTCCCCCATCGAAATGAGCTGAGTAAATCTGCGTACTCGTAGAGTCTAATTTCAGCGTCTCGTTCCTCATAAGAACCACGTACTTTCTACGTATATCAGGGTGTTTAGGAATTATATAATACTGAAGGTTAGGTGCATTTCTGTAACTATTAGTGCAGCCTGGAATACAGCAGTTATAGTGCGCCATGTTTGTTTACCTTCACGTTCTCCCTCCAAACGATCCCAGGAGCCTTTATGGTGGTAAATCGTACCCAGACCGCCGCTCGTTTAGAAAATGGCTAATTCAAATGGGCTATCTTCAGGTCTTTGTGTTCTGTCTTAAGTTTGAGGTTCTCGTAGATACAGCGACGATTAACGTCAATGATCCCTTCTTCTACCCCCGAGCTACTAATCTCTGATAGAACGTGTACTTCAATACATGATGGACAGGACCAAGCGAAGTGATCCAAGTTTTGAAGTTGTTTGTAATCCTTGGGAGTAATACGACCGCCTTTAATATGGCACCATATATTGCTTACGTCGCAGCTTACAGCTCGATGATTTTTATGGACCTTCTTCCCGCATGCCGGGCAGCTATTGGAGTAAAGAGTAAAGAGCGATAGCATCAGGAGCGAGTGCCACATCTCCACTGATAGCAATTCGAGTGAGGTTAAAGCTTGCTTCAGAGTTAGGATAGTAGGAGATTCGAGCAGAAAGGTACTTGCTTCCACGTGGGTAGACTTCGTCTGACGTGTTTCGGCGCAAAATAGTCTGAAATTCGTGTGAAACTAATGCTGGAACAACTTTGCAAATTCTACAGGTCCTTGATCTACTTTTTGCAGCGAAAGGAATATTCTGAAAATGAGATTTAACCAAGAAACATAAGAAAAAGGCGGAGTATAAAAATCCACGTCCAGTCGCCATTTTGACACGTGGCCATTTTAATCGAGCCAGTTCTGGCCAGGACAAACTCAGTCAGTTCGAGCTAGGCCAAAGTCAGTTTGGTCAAAAACCAATCAGTTCAGTTGTGCTTATAAAGTAAATGTACGTTGAAGCCAGATTTGTTATTGTTAGGCATTGTCTCAAGGATAGTCAAATGACGTAATACTGAGATCCCGGCCTTCCCACAGCCAGCGAATGCCCCATGAAAGCCTTTTCCCAGAGGAAGTTTATCGAGTTGTGCCTCCGTCTGTCCATTTATTTGTGAAGGCAAAAACCTGTTTTCACGGCAATACAGAACTTATTAAAGGATTTTTCCCTTTTTTATTGTATCGCCATCATGGTTCGAATCCTTCTACTTCAATCATTGCAATGAAGAACGGCGTAAAATGGCAAAAATGTTTCTGTATGAATAAGTTGAGAAATATTTGCATTTTATACAACAAAACTGCTTCATGAGCTGCAGGTCAAATGAAAGTTGTGGAATTTAGTTTGAAAACACCGCACCAAGATACTTTGTTTCCACGATCAAATATGCGAGAATTCCTCGTTCATCGTATGAGATTATGACTGAGGACTTCGTAGATGTTGATTGACGTTAATAAAAGAAGCAGCAACGATAATTATCGCATCCAACAGTCCGTCTTCATTTACCCTTATAATTACCGGTTTTCGTCTTTCTCCTTGGCCTAATAATTGTCATTTTCTCGTCCTTATAAAATGCTTTTTTTTTTTCTACTTTCGTTCCAACAAGGTAAAATCTTAAAGCTTATCTGAATGTTTATTTTTTTGTTTTTTGTTTTTGTACATCAAAACATTCCTTTCCTGTCAGTAAAATAATAAAGCATTGTGACAAAAACCATCCATTATCAGCTTAGCTAATTGCAAATCTCTTTTGGAGGTCTATATTTGTAAAACACTAATTCAATAGTTTTAGAAGGAGTCTGAAAGATCGGAAAGATCTTTAGAAAGATCTGTATTTGTTTTAAATTTTCGAGGTGATAATATTTTTTCGATGTATCAGGTATGATCGCTAACAAAAAAAGGATGAAAATACATCGTGGCTAAAGGCAGACATTATAAAATATTCATTAGAAAATTTGCACTTTTCAAAAGTAAAACGTGCTCAACTTCATGTCAGTTATGCAAACTAAAAAATTCGGCCCTTTTTTTATTAATGGAACCAACTGAGATGACAACCCATCGTTTCGTTTTAATCCCCATTCATTACACATCTGTCGGTGGCGATGTCACGAAAGTAAAAACATCAGCAATTTACGGGCGGATTTAAAATTTTGAAACATACCGGAAAGACAATGGTGTGAATGCATGACTTGTCATCCGTTATTTAATGTTAGAAAATAGTTAATTTGAAAATAATTCTGTCGGTGTTAAGGGGAAGTTAAGCGGGAAGATGTGTCTGGGGTGAGAAAAAGGCGGCTCTACAATGAAGAAGAGACTACAACGTCCGCTTTAATTAAGCATTCTTTTACCTCAACTACCACCTGCTGATGCCCGATGGTTTCCATGACATTTCTGGATTTAAGAAATAATTTTTCATGTCATGTCTTTGTATTGCCTTAATTTATAAAGTAAATACGAACCGAGCTAGTTAATTTATTGCCAACAACATCAAGGAATAATGTGCTAAAAAAACTCACGCCGAACTTGGTTACTGCTGTCTCCCTGGTTTTCATAAGATCTAGCCTCGGTCTAACGTTTGCCCGCAGCCACAAAACAAAGACCGTTTAACGAAACGGCGATCTTAAAGACGCAGAAAGGCCGAATTCATACTTAAAAGCTTAAGGAGATCTCTAGCCAAAATGTTCTGGAAGATGTTCTTCCTAGCGTTTATGATTGGTGAGTACGAAAAGACGAAATCAACGCTAACCTCCTTGTTAACTTTTAGAAAACTCCTTATATTAAGTGGGCCATTGGCGGCATAATGTACTACGCATTTTATTTCTATTTTTCACTAGGTTTTGGACGAGGGTCTGACAAGGGGTCCAGTTTTCTTCTGTTATGGTTATTTTTTGTTTACATATTTCTATTAAATCAATTTGTCAATTCATATCATCTTCATATTCATCCATTCTCCTTTGGTATGATACAAATAAGAATAACCCATTTTATCAAAGCATTTACTGCCAAACACGGATTATTTGTTCTATGTTCTAGCAATACACATAAAGACGTGGAGGATGGTGTAATGTTTTAAAGCAGAGTTGTGTGATAATTGCCGCTGAAAATATTTGCATTGAATTTACAAATACTAAAAGATAAGGTTAACGATGCTTGAAAAAGGATATCGCAGCTGACGTAAGTGTAAATGGAATTAACATTTCTTTGCTCTTTTTTGATGAATTCAGCTTTATTATAATCGAGCAAAAAGTCTGAAATGAACGATGGCAGTCATAAAAATCACCAAAAGGATGTACATTCAGCATAAAAATAATCATTTTTGAAAGCTGGGTTAAGTCAAGTATTTCCTTCTAAGTTTAAAGTTTGAATCCACTATTTTTTAGGTCATAGTAACCAGTGCTTCAGAGACTATGCAGAAATGAAACTTCTAGGGATAAAAGACACATGTCAGCGAATTGTGAACGGAACTGGTCGGCGTTGGTTAAAAATTAGATGCCATCATTACATTCGAAGGTATTGTACAGTGTGGTGCAGGGACTTCGCTCATTGTCTCGGCCAATCTTTTCAATGGCAGCAAGAATGCGCTCGTAGGTTTGACAAACTCTACCGTTGGGGACAACGGACAAATATCAAGACGAATGCTGAAAGAGATGGCGCATCGTATAACATTGACATGAGACTTTGTTGGTGGAATTTCGTCTACACAATTTTCTCCATTAAGATAACGTTAATTAATAGCGCAGTGCAAGGAAATGGTATGTAAAACGTTCCTTTGTTTTCAATATGAAATCTTTCGTCATTTATAATTTCATCCGCTTGTCTATCCATTAATCCATCAGTCGATCCGATCACTCGATAGCTCTTTCGTTCTCTCAATTTCAATCCTCGTTCATTAAATTGTGTTTTCCTTACTCATTAAAATATTTATTTTACTGTTTGTTCTCTCATTTATTCAAATTAATAGTCCATTTCAGTTGGGGAGTATAATAAGTGCTACTTATCCGTCTCTTCCACACAGGCGAGCAGCAAAAAGGGGATGACTTACGCAAAGAGGTATTCTACTTTTTTTCTTGTAAATACATCGCTTCTTATTCGTGGCCATGAAGTTAGTTCTTTCTTGCTTCTTATATCATTTTTAATCGGGAAACTTCTTTACGCAAAGCTCTTTGCATCCACATATTAAAAACAAGGTTGTGTCGCGTTATTGATAAAATTAGATATTGATAGATATTGTTTCAGCGGACATGCTGACTGTAACAGTTATGAAAATTGATGAGAGGACATTATGAGATCAATAAGATTCATCATTTCTTCCTGATAATTAAACCCTTTTACCGTTTGTTTAGGATTTGCTCAATTCTTTGAGGTCCATTACTGAGCATTTTACTGAAGAGATACGCAACAAAAGTGAAAATAAGTTGGAAAAGATAGAGGAAATGTTTCTCGAATTGACTTCTTTGGAGACATCTGTGTTGGAAAAAGCACAGCTTAACCTCAATCACACAACACATGAATTTAATATGAGCAGCGTACACGTTGGTAAGGCATTCTTTAAAGATAATAAGTGCATTCAACATTTTCATTCAACTGATTCAAGGGCTGAACATGAAAAGGTGCTCATTGCATGGAACAGCCTTACTATAACATTGAAGGGGGACATACATGTAATGCAATATTCTTCTTCTCACTATTGTATCTTTTTTTTTATTAAAATCTGACCATTTTATCTTCCTTGGGAAGCATCAGGTAACCTTTTTTCGCTGTTTGATATTATGCACAATTTTGTACAATAAGTTCATCTTTAATCGTTAATATTCTTTATTACATATATTGTTATTATTGTCTTTATTATTATTATTATTATTATTATTATTATTATTATTATTATTATTATTATTGATTTAATTATTATTATGGAAGTAAAAACTTCTGGATGCCCAGATATCCTAAACAATGATTGGGCGGCAAACCGCAACCAATCAATGCAACGACCAAAGTCCTTACAATTAAAATTCCTATAGCAATTCCTAATAATGGAACCCTAGTAATGAAAGTCCTAAACATAATTGCTATGTAATAGAAACTTCAGTCAAAATACTAAAGGTTCCATACGTTACTATGGAAATGCTTAAATGTAATGAAACATCTAATATCCCTTATTTCGATCTTAAGGCGCCTCACCGTACTAAGTGAACTACAGCAATTCCTAATCATAAAGGCCTTAGTGCTAAACGTAATTACTATTTAGTAAAATCCTCAATCTAAATACTAAAAGTTATATAACATCACTATGGTAACGCCTAAGTGTGATAAACATCTAATATCCCTTATCTTAACGCGCCTCGCAATATTGAGTGAACTTGTGATGATTGACTTCTGTATGCGCATTATTATCATTATTGTTATTATTATTATTATTATTATTATTATTATTAGTATTATTATTAGTATTGTTGGTTCTATCATAATATTTTACACTTTTACCCTAGATGTTCTGGTAAGGAAAATTGTCCATCAAAATGAAAGCCACCACTTTCATCTGGAGGAACCCAAAGGAGAAAATTTCCTGAGCATTCCACCGAGGAACTTATACAATGGTTTGAACATTTATTTCAACATTCCGTGTTTTCTCATTGACTATTTTTTTTCTTAATTTGATGCAACGTTATATTCCAGAACTCATTAAATTGTTTCAATTTTTATCTTTTTCCAAGGTTCAGTGGTACTTGGAATGATTTACAGAGATCTCCACCAATTATTTATTACTAACCAGACAGAGAACAGTAACAATTCCAGGTCTCGTACTCT